CCCCGCGGGCTCCGCGCTCCCGATCCCCGGGACTCCCCAGGGCAGCTCTCACTGCCCGAGAGCAGCCTGCCCTTCGCCGCCCGCGCCTCCCCAGCAGCACCTTCTTGCACAGGTAGATGAACATCGCGGCGGAGCGCAGGAGCCGACGGGCCGGCCCTCACGGCAGCGCGCCCAAGCCGGCGCCGCGTCCCCCTGGCAACCGCCCGCGGAAATGGCGCCGCTTCCGGGGGAGCGGCCGGCGCCATTAACGGTGTGCCCGCTCCGGCGGCAGGCCCGGGTTCCCGCGTTGGGCCCTGAGGGCATCGACTGGCTCAGGCTGTTCGGGAGTGCTCGGCTCGGTTAGAAGGCACTGCCGGCTCGTTAATAAAGGTCACGCTGCTTTTACACGAAGAAATATCCCCAAGTTTGTGAACCGCAGGTTGTCTGCGCACGGTGTTTGTAGTGTAACTTACATCAACATAGAATCATAGAATGGTTTGGAAGGGACTCCAAAGGCCATTTACATCCCTGCCATGTCCTGCCATGGGGCAGAACACCTTCCACTAGACCAGGCTGCTCCGAGCCCCATCCAGCCTGGCCTTGAACTCTTCCAGGGATGGAGCATCCACAGCTTCTCTGTGCCAGAGCCTCACCACCCCCACAGTAACGAATTTCTTCCTAATATATTACCTAAACCTGCCCTTCTTCAGCTTAAAGGCATTCCTAATTAAAAAGGAAGGAGACTTAATCATTGAAACAAAGAGCAACTAATGTTACAAGTAAGAAGCTTGATTAGGCCGATATTCAAGCATTAATCAATTTATTAATTAATATGGTACAGTATGAGCAGTACAGTGCCGGGTACAGTGGGGGAAGTTTTCCCTCCAACTGCACACCGATAGTTAAGGCTTACAGGTATTTATAGGGGTACTTATAAGCTTTCTTAGCAGTTTCTATTCCAAATTTTTACTCATCATCAGTTTCTATTCCAAATTTTTACATCACAATTCTATACACTATTGTGATTTAGTTTTTCTCAGGATGTATCCCAGAAAGGAGTATCCCCAGATGGTGATGGTCCAGTTTCCAAAAGAAGGAAGAATCCCATCTGGTGAAGTCCAGCTCTCCAGATGTGGGCCTACCTTTCAATTGCAGAGATTATAAATCTCATAACAGTGATGTCCAGCTTCCCTTGGTCCTTGAAACTATAAACCCTTGAGTTGATGTTCATCTTCCTTTCTCAAGCTGTTTTTCTCTGTTTTGTTAAGGTGTGAGATAAGCATGTTTCCTTTATATATATTCCAAAGCTATTGTTTCAAGGATACAAGCAATATTCTAAAATTATACTTCAGAAGGTTATTATTGCAAAACTCTTTAAGGCTTAACTACAAGCAAAGAGCAACATCCTTGACGCTTTAATTCAAATGCTTCTAAATCAACTAAGGTTAATTGCAAACAAAAGATAGGTTCAAAGGCCTTCTTCCATGCTTTACTTTCCTTAGTTATTATTAGAATTTGTCTTTATAACTGTCCTATGGTCAGTTTCCACACATATCACAATCACAAATACACACATTGCCTGTACGTACCTGACACGAAACACAGCTTTGTATGTCACACTAACAAGTTCTCAGTGATGCTGAGGTATTAGAAAAATAAATTACTCACTAATACTGCCATGTTAAAATTTACAACTGGACAAGTTTTGATGATCTCAGACCTAGGGGGAGGTTAATAAAGCTTGGGAAGAAGGATGTCACACTGATAATGGACACAAAGAATGGAGAATTTATGGGCCACAAGGCCCACATTTGGCAGAACTCCCAAGATAAGAAAGAAACAAAGCCAACTCAGCATTGTGTGGCAATCAGCTCAGACTGGGTAAAAGGAAATTCTGGCAGGGGCAGATTGCAACCATCGAACCCAAGAAATCCACCAACCCAAAAGAAAAGAAAGACTGAGCGCATGGATTAATTAACATGAGAAGAAAGAGAGTCATTGACAAACAGAAGGTAGAACACTAGTTAACAGAAGAACTATGTAACCTGTAGCACTATGTAACTACAGCATCCATTGTCCTTTTGGTCAGAGACTGTGCAAGTATCTCCTCACCCAGGAGTGGATAAGAGACACAAAGATGCAACACATGAAAAGAGACTGTATAAAGTAAATAGAGAGGTTGATATAATATTGTGGAATTGGTATTGTGTAGTAGAATTTTGGAAAACTCATACTTACATGCTTGAGAGTGACAAGTGGAGTGTATGAAGTCATGGTTAAAAAACTTTCTCTTTTGGGTAACAATGTGGAATGGGGCAATCAGTTAAACCTTCTCCTTGTTCTCCATTAGGATGTATTTTGAATCACTAGGACAAGTGTGGTGGAGAACTTCTTACAAAGTGGTAGTTAAAGAAATACTGTACTCAATGGTGGCCAAAATATAAATTGGATGGTGATAAAAAGTGGCCAGAAATGGGAACATTAAATCATAATAACATGCTACAACTGTTATTTTGCAGAAGATTAGATAAGTGGGATGAAATCCTGTGTATGGATTTATTTTTCTCATTGAGAAATGGTCATAAAACAAGAAAGAAATGCAGGTAATTGGTGTTTGATTCAAATGTGTTAATGACGATGGAAGAGAAAAAGAAATTATCTTGTTGCTGTTCTGCTTTCTAGTATAGAGAAAAGGTGTCTGAAAGTGGATAGTGAAGAAAAAAGGGCACAATTGTTGGTTTCTCTGAGAAAGAATCAGGATAGTGATAATTTGGACCAGGAAAGTACTGATGGTAAGACTGAATTATGGGATGCATTTAGTCCAATTGCAGGCAGAATTTGGGCACACTAAAACCCTGTATATGTAAAAGTTCCCTTTTCAACCACTGATTTGATACATTGGAAGGAGTCTGCCAGGTTGTAAAAACAAATTTGAGAAAAATTTTAAATTCTATATGGTACACCACATGATGTGAAACTGACAGGAAAAACTGACCAGGTGATGTGGTAAGAGAAAAAGCTTTAACAGATTATCTCTTGTCTTTATAGAAAAACCTGAGATTATTACACAGGTACTTGCTCTTTATAACACCAGTCCCAATCAAGTCACCAATATATTCTTTCAAGCATGGAGATCAAGAGTACCTGAAAACCTGGAAAGATCTCCACTAGCTGAGAAGTGGAAAGGACCTTTTCAGGTACTGCTGAAACCACACACAGAGCCATGGAATTGAAATGACTGGACTCATGAATTCATTACACAGACCAAAGGTATTCCTCCAACTTTGTGGTGGTCTTAACAGAAAGACCCCCAAAACTGAAACTTGCCTCGGGACTCATGAAGTGCACATGGACAAAAACAGAATCTGTAGTGCAATTTTATTGTATTCAGAAGAAATTTTACTATATTTTTGTGTTTTACTAAGTTTAAGAAGTTTTTATAGGCAGTGTGCTTGATTTTTGGAACACCACTGAGCACCCAGACCTGGGTGCACAACTCTGAAATGAACAATCGAGTCTCTTTTGAGTGTGTAATTATTGGCTTGTAGCACACTGGATAATAAATCCAATTTTTCTGAACAACAATATGTCCTATTTTAAACAAATAATTTATATAATCTTGGAATTTTACTTGGTACTCACAAAGTGAGGAAGGTGATTGCTCAGAGGAATTGAATGTAAATATTATAATTTATAATGCAAAATGAAGTTATGAATACTAGTGCATGAATCAAAGCCTGCCCAGCTGACAGCTTGCAAGATACATCTGGCCTCCAGGACAATATTCCACTATCCTATAAAATTTTACATCTCATCTGAAAACTGGCCTTAGTGTAAATAGGACTGATGTCATCCCCTCCCAATTGCCAAGAACTTGTAAAGTCTTGCATTAGATTTACAATTTGTTTATTCTTACCAATTACAGAGGCCAAGGCATACTTCTGGCCCTATAAATGCCTATATAATACTCCTGCCTAAGCAGAGGACATGAAAGTAAGCAAAGTAAAGTGCTGGATATAAAACTCCATGACTTGGAGAAATACAAAAAAATATGCATGCACAGCACTTTGAAGAAAGAAGTGCAGTATAGCCAGGGCATCCCATGCTAACTTTAATTGCACTACAGCAAATTAATATCAGTACAGGGACACACCACAAAATACCAAGCAGAGCCAAATCCAGCATTCTTGGAGAGTTTATAGTGTCATTTTTAGCCCTTACAGCTGAAGCTGTGTCCCATTTTCACTTGTGCTGTTTGGTGTTATATTCCAGCTTCACATTGCTGTGCAGGCATACCTGAAGTCACACTCCCATGTGCAGTGAACATAACTGAACGTGCTTGAATGTGGTGTGTGCAGGGTGTGAAACAAGTACAGATGTTGTTTCATACATCCTTGGCAAACCAGTTACCACATGGAATATTTTGTGCAATTATATTGCAAGGGTCTACAAAATATATGGGATTTTTCCATTAAAAAAACACATAGTTTTGACTCATAATTTAAATATAGTTTCTATAGTATTTGGATTATTATAAATGCCAAGTGTATCTATTTGGATTCCTTTAACAATTAATTTTTTTTAGTTGTTAGCTTGTGTGTTTTATCCCAAAAGCCTGATTGACACAAGTGTCAGTAAAGTCTGTAATGACAACAGGAACAACTGACTAAGAACATAAGTAAATCTTGCAGGATAAAAATACTAAATTCTAGGATGTTTTTTGTTCTTCTACATTTTAAACATTATTAATACTTGAAATTACTGTTCAATATTTTATCTATATTTACAGTAACATTTAGATTTTAAAATCAAATACTTCTTTTTCAAAACGTGTGACTTGGGGCAGTATTCTGTTTATTTCTTCCATGTATACCTCCTTTATCCCTAAAGTTTTGTTTCCTTGGGTTTTTTAAACCCTTTATTTCATAACACATTTTTTTTTTGGGTTGAATACAAAATAACTTCCAACATCAATGTGCATATCATATTATATTTTATTACAATAAGTTACACAATCCCTACTTCCCCATTTAATTGACAGAAGACATAGGCACATTTTTTCATTGTGCCTTGCCATTTCAAAATTTTATATAATGTGATATACTGTATCCATTCTTTTTTTTTCTGTATTTACTTTGAAGTAAGAGAATAAAAAATGCAGTTACTACAGAAAAGCAGTATCTGCCGTAGAAACTGAAGCACAGCAGGGATGAGTAGCTTTATGGCTATAAAGTGACTATACATGAAGATCCTTAGTGTCACTGTATTTTCAAGACTCTTGTCTTCCTGAAGTCTTCTCCATGTTTGTCAATAATAATAAACCACTGCTGTTTTGTAAGCTGTGCAATGAAATAAAGCTTCCTGAAAACAATAAAAAGGCTTGATTCTGAAAGATTACTTTAAAATGAAGCAAAATGATAGCTCAGACAATCTGCTGTCTGTCTTGATATGCCTGCAGCTTCTCAGACACTTCATCTAGTGGTCAGTTGTTAAGGGCAATAACATAGATGGCTATAAGGTTTGTTTTATTTACAGTCTTTCATATTGCTGCATTTTCATAAAACAGTCTGGTTTCTCGGTGAGGTCAATACATGCTTGAAACAGAAATTTCCAAACATATTAGAGCTCTGTCAAGATCTGGCATCTTCCCAAATAATCTCAACAACCCTAATTTCTTATAATGTGTTGGATCAGGTGATACCCAGGGATGAGGAGCAGAAGGTGATGGTCTCTGCTATGTTTTCCAGATTGTCTTGAAAGGAGGCTGGGGATAGAAATGGCCCATCAAAGAAAAACTTTGAAAGAAAGCCTCAGTTCTTTGTATAAAGTCTATTCCTAACTTAAACCTAGAACATTTTCTTGTTCAACATGAGCTCTTGGGGCAGAAAGATTGATCTCTGAAGGACGTGCTACTACTGAGATGACATTACAGGTTTAATACATGTGTTCAGATTTAACTAGATTCCCTAGAATTATACATTATAATCCAGGAAAATCTGAGTTCTTCCCTTTGCTTTTCCCAGGCAGATAAACTGAACTCCAAGCACACCGCATGAAGAGGGATGTGCAATTAGACCTCATAAAAATAACTGTGAATTTATTCAAAAACTGGGAAAGTTTTGTGTCCTTGGCAGAAGTGTTTATTTGACTTTCAGAAACTTTGGCAAACTGAAAAATTCATGTATCTATCTAAATTATGTATAACTGATATATATATCACTACTTTGCTCTCCTTTTTTTTAATCTTAAATAGACTCTTCCTTGATTCCTTTCTAATCCACTCTTCCTTGACTCTGAAGCCTCAGAGATTAGGATGATAACCACAGACATAATGCTCCTTTAAATCAATTCCTATTTGAATAAGAGCACCTTTGACAGAAAAAAGCATTCCATCTCAGAAATTTTCAGTGAAGAAAATCTGTGACGTTCCTTGGTAAATTGTAGCAGTGATCAACCACTCTCACTTCTAAAAATCATGCCTTATGATGTACCACAGCTTGTCCAACTTCAGCTTCCAGTTATTAGTTCCTGCCATGTCATCTGAGGGCATTTATTTCAGCATTCAGGCTTGCTGTGGTACCACAGAGATCACCACTTTCTCTTTGTTTATTGGTCGGGGTTTTTTTCTCTCCCACATGTTTGTGGAACGTCTGATCCGGGGGCTGACCACGTTTCCTTTCCCGGCTGCAGCCGTGGCACTGCAGCAAACGCGGCCGGCAAATCCCACCCCAGCCGGCACCTCGGGTGCCCAGCCTGCCCACAGCCTCCAGCACCCTGCCTTGCAGCCCCCTCATGCTCCTGCATGCCTTCCTACCAACAGGCTCACACCTTTTCAGGGAAAAGAAGGTGCTGGAATATCACTTGGGACAGTGTCTGCCTATGGAGGTGGGATGCTGAGGAATACCACAGCTAATGGGACTGTTGTCACACTGCCCATGAAGTTGTCCCTAAAGTTTTGGGACATAATAGGAGGGCTCAAAACTGAGTGTCTGATGTAACAGTAAAAGCCAGCCAGAAGAATTATGAGTTTGATGAACAGTGCTTGATGTTCAACATGGCAGATATAATCTAGGGGGTGTGGACATATGCATTTATTTTATCTGTATCATGTTGCTCTTCAATGAAATGTGAAAACATAGTGGTGTTTGCAACAACCTATCTTTTTTTCCATAATATTTCTGAAATCATCCTGAAAATACTTTCTTCCCTGGATATTTCTTCCCTGGTTAATAACAAAACATCTACCTCTAAAATACCAGGAAAGTGCTGAATGCAGGTGATCATGTCAGAAAAAGGATATATTTTGTGGACAGAGCTTCGAGGCGTGAGGTCACTGAGTCCTGGAGGGCAGCTATAGCTTCACACTTACAGGACTCTTCAGCAGTTACAAGACTGCTCGTTATGGCTCCTAAGAGAGAAAACAGCATTTACTGTATTTGCTACAATTATTGAACATTTAAATCCCAAGAAAATGCTTGATCCTGTGGAAGGATCAAACCCACGCTCTGAGACTACAGCGAGCACTGCAAGCCAGGGCAGGTGGGAAGGAGGGGCAGCAGTGAACAGGGGCTGGTGTGAGTGACTCCAGGACAGGGAAGAGAGAGCTCAACTCGAGCCAAGAAGGAAGCAGAGCAGGATGATCCTCACCTGCCTACTTGGATCCTCTACACTCTTTAAATTAGACCATTACTGAGAAAAAATAAAAATATAAAAAAGGCCTGGCTGCAGAGACCAACCAGCCTCCCCTTCAACTTTAATTGTGTTACCCCACAAGTACTCTTGGTTTCTGACATTTGCGACATGCATGCATAGGGAGTATGGACACAAATCCATTCAAATGTCACATGAATATAGATGGAGGGAATGGCATCATTCAAATAGGCCCAAGTGAATTTAAAATCTAGCAGAAAGACACAGCCATCTAACTGGAGGAGCCAGTCAGTAAGACACAGAAGTTACCAGTCTCTTCAGAAAGGGAAAGTGATCATTGCTATACTCCACAGTGCTTCCTTGAATTTGTTCCTAAATCTTGAACTCAGTCTTCCAGACTTACAGGGGACCAGCTTCAGCTGTCCTCAACAATTCCTTTTTCTCCATAATTCACAAAAAAACCCCAACAGTGATGACAATTTCACTGTAGTATAATAATGTCAAGCATCAGTAGATGGCTGTGAGTTCTTGGCTGCATGAAAGGCAATTTAGCCTCACCTACTCCATAAAGTAAATAAGTTAAGGCTGCACCACTTTGCTGGAGGCTGAGAACAAATGTATCAACAGCCACTGCAGCACAGGTACTGTAGTGAGCTCACCATCCATATCTGAGACTGGAATCATAAGCTTCCAAAAGCAAAGCCTTCTTAAAAGAGAGCCTACAAATACATTTTCAATAACTTACCAAGTAGTATTATGTGCATAAAATACCCATCTCTTGGTAATTTTTTTTTGCATTACTTGCAAAGGCAGCAAAAGCATATTAATAAATTTTGTTTTCTCTAGATATATAAATGCATAGCTGATTAATGTCTAGCAAAGTGTGTGAGCATTTGTAAAAGTAAAGTAAATTATACAACCAGTAAATTATACACCAGTACATTTCCCTTTTTCCCTGGATTGTTTTGGCTTCTTTTTTTTTTGTTTGTTTGCTTGGTTTGGTTTGGGATTTTTGGTGGGTTTTTTTTTTTTTTGTCAATCATGCCATTAATACTCCACTTCTAAAAGGAAACTGCAAAATCTATGAAGTTGCAGATCTGGCAGTGCAGAAACTCATTTGTCTTAAAGCCAATGTTGAAATTGGTGTCTCCTTGATTCCACTGAGGCACTATTTGTTCAGTTCCCCTCTTTGGAACATTCCACTGGCTTTATGGTCAATGTACAAAGAAGAGCTGTTCAAGAGTCAGCTGGAGGAAGGCCAGTTTAGAACATCATACCAACATGGTTGGTTTCCAACCAGCTGCCAGTTAACTTTTTATGTCTGCATTTAAATTCTCCAATGATAGATACAGATCCTCCTTGGATTTTGTCTCTTTTAGCAAAATTATTTTTCCAACCAGCTCTGGCAATTGTCCAAAGATATTCTGAATTCTTCTACAGTCCTACTGTAAAATTGAGAGTGTTCCAGTATTTGATATTCAAAATTTGGGGCATTCCTGTTGCCACTGGGATGCCCAACAAGACACACAAAGCATGCTAAGCTGTGTTTTTACACTGCCTTTGTGGTCAAGTCCAGACCAACAAAAAACTATTTTTGCAGATAGTGTTTGTCTATATCCACCAATTTTATAACTGTGCTCTTACACAGCATCTTCAGGCACTTGATGTGACGGCAAGTTATTGCCACTCTGAACCAGGGGTACAGCTAGGCAGCTCCCGAGGTCCCTTCCTACCCAACTTTGCATTCTGCATCAAACTGTGGAGAGGTTCTGCCAACACTTGATCCCAGTATTGCCCATCTGAAAACAGTTGGTGAGTTCATCCTTGCCCCACTGAGCTCAGAGGAGATGCCAAGGATACAAGGTTTAGCATTGCAGCAGTTCTGACCTGAGCATTGCTCCCCTGGGAGCCCCCCAGCCATTCTCCAAATGCTGGCAGGCAATGGAGACTCACATCCCTGAGGCAGGAGCCCCAGAACCCTGCTTTGCCAACACCCCCAGTTATTCGCATTTCAGGAATGCAGATTATGACATATTGTATTTTTAAATACAGTGAGTCCTTCAAGGTATGATGACAGATAAGAGACAACATTAAACTACTTTTAAATACAGTAACTGCTAAAACTAAAGAAGAAGGACCAAACTAGCTCAACATATTTTGGAAAGAGGTATAAAAGAATGAAAAGGGATTATACTTCCTGAGAGCTTGTGAGTTGATAGACCATTTCTCAAACAGATTAAAAATGTTTAACACATTAAAAAGAGGTGCTTCAATAAAAAAAAACATATTCAGGAAAAAATCTAAATATTAAGTTATTACTTGAGCATGTTTTGTCATCTGAATTTAAGATAAAGCCTCCATAGCAGTCACAGGTCTGTGATCACTCACACAGACCTGGTACCAGCCATAGGTTCCTGGTGCACACACACCAAAACCAAGATAACATTTTTAATGCTCCCCAATGGCAATGCTTTTCCATGATGGGAGCCTCTCCTCTGTGAATCTTATCAGGAACTGCTGAGATGTGTAACTGATCTCACCTTGGAGCAGCAATTGTCTTACTGGGGGTTAATACATTAATTAATGCAAGGGATACCTCACAGCTTGCTCCCTCTGACCCAGCTGTGTAACCCCACCAGATGTGAGGTGCCACATCAGCTCCAAAGGCACACTAGGAAAGGTTTCCAGTACACAACAACTTTACAGTAAGCAGACTGGGAAGGAAAGAAACACTTCTGAAATTGTTGTATTTTTACTGTGACACAAAGTCACTGAGAAGCTAAAGAAAGGAACAGCAAGATGAAATTCAGCCTGGAGGGGAGGACATCACCTCAAAGTGTCTTGCATGGTGGTACACACATTCCACAGTACTGCAAAGTGTGTGACTAACCCCAGCTCTTCTCTTCTCAACAATTTGTCAGTTCTGGGTTTGCTGAATATTACATAAATTAGGGAAGGCCTTATTTATAAGTTGACAAAGACTGCACGGTGAGCATTTACTAACATTGTTACATATAAAGTTCTTTGTGTCTCTGACATTTGCTCAAGTGGGCGAGGCAGAGGGACACAGAACTGTTTTTTAACACCCGAGTGCAGGTGAAAGCTCCAAACTTTAGAGAATATCAACCCATATCCAAACTTCAGAGAATATCAATCCATTTCCAAATTTTAGAGCTGGTCATAGTGATTCCCATTAGCAAATGTATCTTCATTTGCATTCACATGAGGATGTTTTTACTGCATGTCAGCGTGCTGTTAACCAGAGCAGGGTGCACAGAGCGTGTTTTTATCTGACTATCAACGTCACAAAATTAGTAGGAAATTTTGGAATACTGGCAACACTTTTTTGCAGCTGCAACAGATGGCAAAAGGAATGGAACTGAAAGTGAAGAAGCTACAAAACAATTATCCAACAGAATTTCAGAGAACAAATATCTTGATTTTAAGAGACTATTTGGCATTATTTCAACTCTAATTGAGTTGGAGAAGACACTGTTTTATGGAGTGAAAAGATCATAAACAGAAAAATATATGTGGCTGCTAAAAAAGATGTGACACCCACTGCCAGTTACAAAGTGGGCACTTTCTGTGTGAGGCTGCTGTTTTCTGCCAAATTTAACACGTCAATTCTGAAAGGGCAAGCTGAGAAGGAGTTCCTATATTTGGATATCTTTGCAGTAAGAGAGCCCAGCAAGGCACAAGAAAAAATAGAGTGGAGAAAGAAAGGAAGAGAGGAAGAGAGAGAGAAAAGAGAGTGAGAAAAAGAGAAAGAAAGGAGAAGGGAAAGGAACCAAAGGAAAAGAAGAAAAAAAGGAAAAGGTAAAAGAAAATGAAAAAAAGACCCTCTCCCAGACCTAGACTATTTTTGCATCATTTTTTGCACATCTTTGTGATATAATTGAGACAAAGACCTGGATGGTTGGGAAAACATTAGCAGGATACTGCAAAATGAGATTCAAAAGGGAAAAAAAGAAAGCATGTGAAGAACATAATTTAAAGTTTGAGTAAGCAGAAGGAGAACCAGTGCTATGAAATGAGGTTTGGGATTAGACTCCCAAAGGGGAGGCCTAACTGAATTTACATTCCATCACATGTTTATTGTCTCTCTGTAGTGCCAGCTAAGAGCTAATCCTAAGCACCATATTTACAAAATCAGCTCCTAAGCTAGGCAGGAAGAAATACTGAGACCCTCTGGCTTCACCTCTTTGAGGTGTGAGACCTGTGACTTACCTTGAGAGATTTGCCCAGGAGCTTCCTGGAACTGGAAGCCTAAATTCAACAGTTTGTCACACAAAATATAGGAAGCAAAGGGATTATAGTGGAAGTGGGGAAAAAAAAGGATTTTGCCTAAATAAATCATGAGACATCCAAAGAAATTCAGAGTGAAGATCAAACCCTAATCAAGTGAAGATATTATAGAATAGATAACAATTTGTAGATGATATATACTCAAGTGTACATCCCTGAGTACCAGCTACATCTATGCTCTTCCTCTCCACAAGAGACCAGCACTGAGAAGGAACATTTCCCTCCATCTTCTAGAGCCTTAAGGCTGGAATATTTTTTAAGGTCCAAAGACATCCACCAGAAAGAGCAATCACACTGATGATGATACAGACTAATTATTCTTCCAGCACAGTCCATGTTCTCCCTCATCTCATTCCCTTGTACTGCTTTACTGCAGACTTTCTGACAGAAATGGTCCACATCACATACTGGATATGGCAATTCATTCTCCATGGGTGTGAAAATACTGTGAAGTCCTCAAGGAAATGCCAAATGGCATTTTAATTTTAACCAAATACAAGCTTCACGCTACTGCAGAAGAGCCAAGGATCTCATATTACTACTGTACATATGGAAAAACAAAGTTGTCCTGAGTTTTGGGGAGTTGTACAAAAACTCTGTTATTTTATCAGAAAAAATAACATCAATTAGTCAGATTTTTAAAAGCCGCTTGCTTTTAGTGGAACATAATTTTTCCTTAATCAGATCTTACCTGAGCAAGTCTTCTTGTCTGGATTCAGAGTGTATCCCTCATAGCAGCCACAGCTGTAGGATCCATCATTCCTCAGACAGACTTGGGCACAGTCATGCCTCCCAGGTGCACACATGTCCATGGCTGTGGTGAGCCATGGTTTAGGAAAGAAACCTGTTAATCCCTCTCACATACTGTTTTAAATGCTCAACATTTTAAATTTTAATTTCCTTACGATTTAACCAGTGTCCTACTACATTATTATATTATGCTGCAGACAAGTGAATTCAGTTATTAATTATTTAATGGAGGAGGCAGATACTGCAAGACATGACTACACCACATCTCATGCAGTTCTGTCTTGCATCAGCAATCCCAAGAGTCCTGTACATCCCCAGTAAGGATGAAGCTAAAAACCCCCATGAGATGAGCGATAAGCTGCCCTGTGTCAGACTAAGCCGCTAAACAGTGTTCATGGAATTCTGTGAAGAATAAACAAATTAAATGGTAGATAAGTGCCAAACTGCATTTTCTAATCAACAAATTTAAAGAAAAATACAATCTTACTGTTATTGATGTTGCTATAGGATACGAAAGAACATAAGCACACTACTGCTCTCAAGGTGAAGGAAAAAAGGGGAGTTTATTTTCTGACTTTAATATTTATAGTTTTACAAAAGTGACAGCGGATTGGAGGGTGACAGTGACACCTCTCCAATGACACTGGTTGAACTAACAGTCTATTAACTCTTTCTTCTTCTATAAAGGAATGCAAAACAATGAGTTATTTACAGAAAGTGTGTGAGAAAGTTCACTACAAGAATGTCAACATCAGAAGGCTTAGAAAATCTTAAAACACCAGGGTGACAATTAGAAACAAGGAAAAGATGACAGCTGAGTTCTCATTTTAGGGTAACTCACAGAAAACGTGTCCATATCTCCAAGAGTTTCATGTATTCAAGTAGCCTTTAATTCTTACCTGAGCAAGTCTTCTTGTCTGGATTCAAGGTGTAGCCTTCATAGCAGTCACAGACATAGGATCTGTTGTTACTCACACAGATCTGGTCACACTCGTGCCTCCCAGGTGCACATGGGTCCACAGCTTGGTAAGAATGTTAGAGAAACAACCTATTGTTAATAACAAGCAGTTTGGGATGGAGTGCACACTCCTGTTTTTAAATGTATTTTGATTTGGAATCAGCTCAGAAATGGCAATAGTAATTGAAGGAATTAGAACAAGTAGTAGGAGAAAATATCTATAGTGTCTACATTTGGAGACTTTGTTTCAGCATCTGGCCCTAAAGAATGGATCTGTAGGCACAATAAAAAGGACAGTGATAGAATCAAACTACATCTCACCATTACTTGCAGCTGAGTTTTCCTTATTATTCATTTCTAGAATTCTTATTGAAAAAGATACAGATGTTTGTTGTTTCAACAGAAGCAAACAAGTAACATCTCAAAACCATGAATAGTGTATTTTTTTTTTCCTATTTGAACTCATTATCCAAAGGAATAATACCTGAGCAGGTTCTCTTATCTGGATTCAGGGTGTATCCCTCATAGCAGTCACAGAGGTGGGATGCCCCATCACTCACACAGAGCTGCTGGCAGCAGTGGCTCCCCAGGGCACACACACCTCTCAGCTGCAAAGGGCAGTGACAGAGAGCTGCTTCAGCCACCCCAGAGGAGAGGAACAGGCATTACTCATTCCTGCTTACACAAGGACATCTTGCACTGTTTGCTGGATTACTGGTACTGAATGTCAGTGCAGTGTTCCTGTCACAACAAGTTACAGACCTCCTTAGCAGCACTCCATAGCCAGGAGAGAGAGGCCATAAACGGCACAGAAATAACTCATTACCTGAGGTGGCAGGAGAAAAGATGAACTGAAAATGAGATGGTTCAACAAGGAGAGATATTAAATATTCAGTAACATTACATGGGAAAGGAGAATTCAGCCATGAAAAGCTCTTCTAGTTCTTTGTATGCAGTTCCTTTCTGTTATGGGAAGGGGAAGGGGAAGGGGAAGGGGAAGGGGAAGGGGAAAGGGAAGGGGAAGGGGAAGGTTTTACCTGAGATTTTTACTTAGATTTGTAGTCATTAATTAGTATTATTGTGGGTATGGACTACTGGTAAAATCAATCTCCAAAGCAATACCGGTGAGATAAAAAATTAGAAGTAAGAGTGCTTAAACCTTCTCATGTGCTTCTGAAAACAAGGCAATTTTGTGGCAACAAAATGGCAACATTCCCATTTTCTAAAACAAGGAAGATTTAGAATTCTACATAAACAAAATCTCTGGGTGATCTTTTCAAGCATAAGTGAGAAGCTCAGACTCAGTCAGATTTTTGTGGTAGGAAAGTCAAACGTCCACTGACTTGGACGGCTACTCAAGGCTAAGACTTTTCCATCTCTGGGATGGCTTCATGCTGAATAATGCTCTCAGTAGATCAAGAACATGATCTTAGCCAACTATTTTTCCCCTGAACATTACTTTCCCTGTTTATAGTTCACCCTGCAAATAAATTAATTGCCTTGGTCAAAGCGAAAGAAAATCCTAATTGCCACTGGTGAGTCCACATTTCTGACCAAAAGCACTCTGGAGCTGTAAAGAGACCCAGTTTACCATACTGACTTACAAGACCCTCTTAGATTCATTTGGTTTATAGGAGTCTTTTTAAAGACTGTTTCCTTCAGCCTGTTATTTTCATGAATCCCAGATTCTGGCAAACTGCACGCAGGCGACTCAGAGTTCCACTGGAAGTGTACATGTGTGAGCTCTCTGATTTACCCTCCAGCCTTGCAGGGGCCTAATTTCTATGCTTCAGAAAAATAAACAGTTTATTCCCAAGAACAAGGGATTTTTCTTTGCTGCTATGAAAGAGCTTGCTTTGGTGAGAACATGAGTGGACATGAGTGCTGTGTTCACAGCACACATACCTGTCCAGCCAGGTGGGCACTTGTGAGGATCTGGTCACACCAGCAGCACAGCGTGCTGTCAAGCCAAACCTCAAGGCATTTCCTATGCTAATTATTGGCAAAGTGTCCTGTCTGCAGATGGTCTTACACGTTTACTTCATACCTAGAGAAAGAGGTTTATTCACTTTAAACATACTCCAAAGATGTGGTGGTAATTTTTAGTAAGGCTCTGAAATAACAAAAGTAACACACCGCCAACCATGTTCCCAAGGAAGTGGCTGTTATTTTCATTCTTTTACAATGTCATTTATACCTATTTTACGTATGATTTGCTGGAGACTTATTTTAAAGTAAATTTCTTAGAAATTCACTAGAAAAATCTATTTTGCACAAGTTTTTTAGTTGTCAGGAAGTTGTCATTTAATTTTTGTGAGTAGGGCTGTGTCACAGCTATCTATAGGCAGCTCTAAATACTCCGATGACCTTTTTTCCTTGTAAATGACAGTAACAGCCCACTCTGGCCTAGCATTGTCAGTGGAGTTCTAGCCTAAACCAAATACATACAGCATTTTTTGAAGATCAGCACTGAAAAAGCAAAGCTAATTAATCCCATCCCACAGTTCCTTGTCTAAATCAAGTTGCAGAGAAACAGAGGGAGATGTGAGCCTGGCACACTGGAAAAGCCCAGCAGTGCCTAAGGAGTGAAAGCCTGTCATGAGATGTTCTGCTGCTGCATTTGGGCTCAATCCTGCACCAGATTGCTCAAGCCAGTGTGGTGGCTTACCTGCCACACCGATTGTCCCACTCTGAACCTACAGGGAATCCCTTCAGCTCCACACTCCCACCCTCCTTGCTTCCCAATGAGATGGAAAAAGAAAGAAACAAGCAGCCTGCACAGCTCTGGTGTACCTTCAGTAATTCAGTAAATATATACAATTAAACCTTGTCCAGATTGCTGTAATTTCTCTTTCTCTCTAAATCTGGCCAGCTGCACAAGGAGGTTCACTCGAGTCAGATCTGTCACCTACACTGAGGTCACTATTCAAAATGAAAAGGTCATTACTTGGCCTCCACTGAAAAAGAGGGTTGGCTTGTTTGCCCAATGGATGGTAAAGGATGTGATTTAGATGTGATACATAACACTTCTGAAAAACGTCTTTCTTAAGGAGTCCAACCACAGCAGCAGTCCAAAGGAGCCAAGTTACACTGCTCTCTTGGACTGCTCCCCTTACCGCAGAAAGTCTCCCTGAATCTGGATGTCAGCTTTTCGATCACGCCGTAGGTCTCCACATAGAAGACGTGTTCATCCAGGGGCTCGCTGGCCATCATCCTCAGGGACTGCACGTCCGCCCGGCCCACCCCGACCGCGTAGATCTCGATGCCGGCCGTCCGCGCGCTCGCCGCCACACCTTGGACCTGGTCCTGCGGCCGCCCGTCCGTCACTACAATGACCACCCTGGGGATGCTGAAGCTTGCTGGCCGGGCGCCCATTTCCTCGGTGAAGACTTCTTCCATGGCAGTTCGGATGGCAAGGCTGGTCATGGTGCCAGCAGACAAGGGCGCAATGCGGGACACAGCCTCCTTCAGAGAGGCTCTGTCGAAGTGGGTCCGGAGGGGAAACTCCACCCTGACGGTGCTGGCGTAGTTCACGACGGCCACGCGCGTCGTTCTTTCACCGACGTCCAGGGTATCGATCATTTCTGACAGGAAGAGTTTCACTTTCTCAAACTCCTCGGGTCGCACACTGCGGGAGCTGTCTACGATGAAGAGGAGGTCGAGAGGCCGGTTCTTACAGGCAGTGTCTGCCAAGAGGGAAGGAAAATGCTTCAGTCACCTCCCACACGGGACAGGAGATTCACCCAAGGGCAGCGAGTGCTGTCATGGCAAACTACTCCTGCCACATAATGCTGGTTGATTCTTTATGAAGAGGCTTCAAATCATAGTGAGCAACATATCAGAAAATCATAAATATTAATTTTGACAAGTAATAAATAACTGGGTTTTTCTAAGCATTAATAGATAGGTGCACATTTGAGCGCTCAAAATGTCTAACTATCCGTGAAACAAAGGGTGGTGGTTTTCATGTAACAGCCAACAAAGAGATGAAACAATTATATATAAATGTATTTACTGTTTATTTTCATAATGCTTGAATTTCAGTTTTTAGAAGATAAAGAAATAAAATGGCAAAACATCTGACTAGATCATATAGGGAATGGATCATAATATATTTTTGGATAGTAACAATATAAACTGCTAATCAGGAATTATTTCTTGTTTGTAAATCACAATCCAAAATTCACAACAAGAACAAATAAAGGCCAACAAGGAAAAAGACACAAATGATGTTGTAAAAAGGCTTCTTTGGAAATTGTTATTGTTTATGGCTTCTAGAGCAGAGAGAGAAAAATGAAATTACTCATTAAGTAATTTTATATGTAAAAATAAACATTTATACACACATTTCCAAAATTCCTCACTGCCATATAAATCTAGACAGAAGCAGAAAAGCCATAGCTTAGATCAGAGACAAACATCACTTCTAGGAAGACAAAAACCAATCAAGACAGTGGCAGTAGGCAACTGAAATGCCCCCTCCCTGTCCTGATATACCGCATCCTGACACAGACAGTATCTTGTATTTAATTTATACCATCAAGGCTGGATTTGCAGCTGAAAAATGGAAAACCCAAAACAAGAGTATTTCTATAAAAGAGACATCCGGGCTCACCAGTGCATTAAATAGCAAAATATGAGGTGTTCAGTTTGAATTCACACCTTGAGGGCTGTTTTGGGAACCCGACACACCTCTCCTGGCTACTATCAAGTTGACTTTTATTATTCCATTCCAGCTGAAATTTAAAAACATCTTCACAAGTATCTTAAAAGTAGAGATGAAAACAGCACTCCCCCCCTCCCCCTTCCCCCCAAGGCACTGGAAACTTTTTTCTCTAATTCAAGTGAAAAGAGAGGGAAAAAATGAAATTGCACAAATTTCCTCAGGAAGCACAGCAGCATAGTTAATTTTGCCTTTGGATGGAGTAATAGATCAGACAAATCTAGGATCCCACCCAGCTATATTCTATATAATTCCATGTTCATCCTGTAACTCAGTTTCACTCAGTTTCGTCTTTGGGAAGCTGAAAAGAACATGAAGAAATGTTAGTGCATGCATGCGTAGCTTAAGGTATGAAGAAAAAAAAAAAAAAAAAAAAAAAAGACAAGCAAGGTTTGTCCAAAAAAAAAAAAAAAAACAAAAAAAGAAAGATAAGAAAGAAAAAAGAGCCAGTGAGCCAGTGGAGCCAGCGCAGTATTTGTAGGTAGAAAACTTCCCTTATTTAGATTGAAAAAGAAAAAAACCTTTTCAGTGACCTGGTCCTTGCACGAATCTGAAATAAAGATGTTTCGAGCAATGAGCGCAGGTAGGGAACAGCTACGCGGGGTTCAGGTAGGGAAGAGCTGCGCGGGGCAGCAGCGGGAGCGCGGGCCGGGCCGGTCCCGGTGCGGTACCTGCGGAGCGGCCGCCGGGGCGCGGCTGCCGGCGCGGGCGGAGCGCGGGGCCCCGCGGGGCCGCGGGCAGCGGCGGCAGCGCCAGCGCCAGCGCCAGGCAGCAGCGCAGGATGCCGAGCGCCCGCCCCATGGTGCTGCTGCTGCCGCCGGCACCGCGCCCGCCGCGCCGCCTTTTAACCTGCCGGGAGCGGGAAGGGGGAGCGGGCAGCGAGGGGGCATCGGCCGCCCCCGCCGCCTCCTCCGCTGGGCGGGCCGGGAGCCCTCGCTCCCCCGCCCCGACGGGCGCTCGGCACCAGGGAGAGAGACGGGCGACGATCGGAGCTCCTCGGTGGGAACGTGCGGCAGGGCCGGGGCACAGGGCTCAAACCTGGGCGCAGGGGGAGCTGACACCGTTCCTCCTTCCAGGCTAATTTAGCATTTCTGTCACCAGGCCAGTAGTTGCAAAGAAGTGGGGAAAAGCTCCTAATGTGACCACCGAGGCACAAGGAGCTGCCCGCTCTGTTGCCCAATGTGGCCGAGGACATTTTGGCCAGTTCCTGCAGGAAGTTGCAGTGAGCTTTTGGGAAAGCACGGCTTAAGGCTCAAAGGCACCCTCATATCCAGCACAGAGCTTTAGAAGACGCTTTTGCCAAATCTGTATCTCGTTGTACTGCAGTGTGAAAAATACGTATTTTATTATTGGCTTTTCACAAATTTTAAAATTAATATTGTATGTGTTATGTTAGAAAGTTGTGTTAATTTTCTTAAGTAGTGTGTTAAATACAGTTTTAAGTTATAACATAATGTTAAACTAGAAACTATGCTATGTAAGATTCTTTTTAAAGAAAGGACTCGCACCGAGATAGCAGCCACAGGACACCTAAATTTTTCAGAGAAAAAGGATTTATTGCTCACTTATCAGAAGAAACTAACTCTTCCCGCCTCGCTTAGCCATGAAGACGCCGTCAGGATTAAGAGGAAGAAGTTGACACTGTGACACTGACCAGACAGAATCGTTTGTTTACATGGAATTTATGCATCATGTATGAGATGTATGAATATGCAACAGGCTATTGCTTTTAAGGGTTAATCCTCTGTTAATGTGTGTCTTTTTTCGGGCTTATTTTGCCCAGAAAGAGGTACCCAGACTGACCGTAACTCTTTGTTTTTATTGTCTCGTATTGTCCTAATCCCAGTTGTTCAAATTTTTATTACTCTAATTATATTACTATTTTTATAACCATTTTATTACTATTAAACTTTTAAAGTTCTAAAAACAAGTGACTGGCGTTTTTCACATGCAGGATCATCATCTCTCCCATCACCTCCATCAGGGGAACAGGAAGCCTTGATTTAGAAGAGGCACCACCAAGCCCCCAGCTGTACAGTATCAGGCAGGCACTGACTCTCTTCAGCTACTTCTACCATGAAAGCACAGTAGAAGAGGCCACCATCACATTCCCAAAGGCTGCAGACAGTGGCAGGGAAGAGGGACTACCACCCTTGAAGCAGGAGAAAGCCACAGGGCAGGGCTCCAGGGGAGTATAATGGTTTTTCTCTCTCAGAAGACACTGCAGCTTTTTTGAGCAAGAGCACATGCACACACACCCCAGACAAATTTCAGGCAGTGCCTGCTGCTGTCAAATACTGCTCACACACATGGTCAGCCACCCACTAGGACAGTCTCAGTAAACAGCCCTTGGCAGGAGCTCTTTGCCCACTCACGATCAGACACAGACACTCCCTCACTACAGAGGGACCCAGAGCAGAGTGTGCTGGAATCCACGTTTGAGCAATACCCAGTTTCAGCTGTTTCTTATACAGCATGAAACCACAGCGGTCTTTCACACACTCACACACATCCCACTCCAGTCACACTGAAGCAGGCCATGGCAGCATCTAAAGATGCCCTGGGTTTGGAGCCTCTGTGGGAGCTCAGATCCGGGGCAGCTCCTCAGAATCTGGAAATAGGAGTGCAGCTGCTGGCAGCACTGGGCCCACCCTGGGTACCCCCTCGGGGTAACCACCAGGACAGCACTGCCAGAACGGGGCAGAGAGGCTCTGAGACCACTGCGCTTCAAAGTGCTCTCACAGGTGGCACCTGAGTTAACTAAAAAGGGGAAACTACTGCTGGTAGCACAGCCCTAACAGAGCATCTTTAAATGTGTACAGAGATACATATTAAAAATACAGGAATAACCCCAGAAATTATAGGCTGCAACAATCTGAATCCATTTTCCCAGAATTTAACACCAGGTAGCTCTTCTCTTCCAAAGCAGTAGTGTTTTATTTCTTCAGCCATACTAAATCATTAAATAATCTTTTACCTTTTTACAGCTCTTGCTACAAAAGAGGAAGAGTGGAAAGTTTTTTGTACCTTGGTTTTTTGGTTTGGTTTTTTTTGCTGATTGTAGAACATCACTAAGTTATGGCATATCTCCAACAACTCTGGACATTTTCCAGTGTAAATGTTGCAGTCCTACTGGGTGTCTGTCCTGCTTTTAATGCCTGAGCTGACCAGACATCAGATTTCCCCAAGGGCTAAGCCTCCAGTACAATTGCCTTTTCCCAGTTCATGGGTAAGTACCAATCAGACAAGGGGAAGTCATCCAAGTACTTGAAATGCAAAGGCTTTAACACAGGACTGTGTGTTGGAGAGAATCCAAGTTCTCCAGCCACATAAGGACTTCTACTGAAGCATGGATCAACCACTAAATCTGCAACTAAGCATGCTGGATTGTCTGCAGCACTTAAACGAAAAAGTCACCAAAACGAAAAAGTCACCAAAAAGATCAACCAACACTAGTGGTAAACATTTTGTAAAAGATTTATTTAAGTATCATTTATCACAAAGAGGAAAATACATAGAAGATTAGAAGCATGCAACCATCTTCCACATTTCTGTTTATTTTTCTTGCATTCCCAGCTCGTTGTAATAGAACTCCTGTGCCACCCTCACTTGTTCCTCAAAAATACTGTTTCAAGACAAAGGATAACCAAAAAAACCACAATAAAAGGTAAGATAACATATGAGAAAAGTGCAAAGTAAAAAAGTCACATATATACCACATTCAAACCCTTCCCCTTCCAAAAAATGGATAAAGGCAAACTGTCATTTTGCTGCACGACCAGATTGTCTTTATGAACTACTTTACAAAAAATTAATATAAATTAAGGGCATAATCCTGCAGACACTTATAATCACAGCTAACTTCAATGAGAGTGGCTCAATTGGTATTATTAAAAGCCACAAGTTAGTCACATGCATAAGTTCTTGCAGGTGTAAGGCCCTAAGGCAATAAAATGTTTAAGAGCATTAGGGAGAACAAAAATTAAAGCAAATGAAATCACTCTCAGATGTGTGTTGCTTAGTAAGTTTATATCAAACATATTTTAAACAGAACAGTTTGCTCCTAAAGCCCTGAATATTTCTATTACTTAAGCAGTTTTGCAAGATTAAAAGACAAAACCCCCAGGAAGCTGGTACAGATGTTAATGAACATACAAATTGCTTCAGGCAGGTATGTAGGGAGGTGGAGGTTCCTTCTCAGGCATCTTCACTGCCATTTCATAGGTTGGCAGAACATACTAAGGAGAAGACATTTTGAAGTGATTAATGCAGGAGGTTTCAAACAGGAAAAAAAAACAGAAAAAAGAGAACAAAAGCATACATGGCTCATCAGCAACTTAATCCTCTGTTGCAGGCAAAGTTATTTTAAGAATTTACTGCTGTTCCTAGTAAGCAAATGAGGAAGTGAAAGAAGGTGCAGGAGGCAGTTTACTGCTCTGCTGAGCCTAACCCTTGGTTCTTTATTCCACACCCCACTGCATCTTGACTTTGCAAAGCAGCAAGGAAGGTTTGGACTGGTGCAATCAAAGCTTCCCTCTACCACAAGAAAAACATTCAAAGACTTCTCTCTAAAGACCCTCCTTTTAGACACTCAGAATTTAGCTAAGAAATAACCCACCACAAAATTAGCTGCCTTATAATTTTTTATCTTTCCAGTCTTTCTTTAGAAAGCTGGACAAGGCTTGGAAACATACATGGATATGGTGATTTTCTACTTCAAAATTAATGATACTGTTTCCTTTTATCTTAAACAAGATTTTACCTGTGGAGGAGCTTCAAAAGCAGGGTACACAGCAATCTCTGGCAAATTTCTGCTGATGATGTATTTATAGCAGTTCCATACACAGTTAATGAGATATGCCTGAAAGAGAGATCTTTCTTTTAAACACCTCATAAGCATTGGCTGATTCAGAAACTAGATGTTGTATGACATTCCTACGATAAAGAGGAGCATACATCAACTTAGACAACACATATGTGAGGAATGGTTGCTATTTCACAGACCTGGCCACATACCTATGCTGCTCTCCATTTTGCATTCACAGTGACTCATAGAGGATGCACCACACAGGTTTTAGCAAAAGAATTCACAGATCCATTCAACTAATCTCTGTCTGCCTCAGCAGTGCTAATCAAATTAATCCCCAACTGGCTGATGCTTCTGTGGATCTCAGTCCAAGCCTGCCAGGAGGAGGAGGAGGAGAGGCCAACAGCAGAATCCCACTCCTCCCCCAGTTAGCACTATTGCTCCAACTAACTGCCAGTGTTAGGGAGAGGGCTCAGACACACAACTGAGGCAGCAGGGAGAGGGTAGAGCAGTGAACCCTGAACTTCGAGTCAACACTGACTGCTGCAGAAAGAAACATTATCATGATATGATGAGGATTAGGGGTTTTTAGTACTAATTTGTGTAACATTAACTTTTCCAAATCTCTCACTGACAAGTTAGCACTGTTGTACCTAAGGTACCAAATTTCCCAATCAATACACAAGTGCTACCTACTGTATTAGGCTTTCACTCTCCTCAGTTAAACATTCCTCTTGGAAAAAGTATAGAAAATCAGTAAAATTATTTTTCATTATTTATTTTTTTCTGAAATGCAACCTGAATGCAATAAAGGAACAGTATCATGGCCAATGTATATTATAAATACATTTCTCTAATATGCTTTGTCTACACAAGAGTTTTTGTAACCCAAATGAATGCCCCATTATTTGGATCTTCAGAAAGAAACTGCTACTATCATCCTTCAGAAGGGAGGATGACCTAAAATTAACTTATACATTTCCTCATTCCATCA